TTCCAGAAAAAAATAAATCAAAATTAAATGAGTTCTTGCCTAAAAACCAGTTTATGTTTTAAGCATAAACTCGGTTCATTTTGATATTTTTTCTTCAGAATTTAAATATCTTCAGTAATTTTGTTTCTCAAGTAAGTGTATATAACTGTAAAACAGTACCGTGTTAATATGAATTTATTGTAATGATTTTTCACAGGTGTTTTACCCATATTTTGAATAATGTATTGCATTTTGTTTGAAGGAAATGTCTGTAAACTTAACACAAAATGTCCAGGCAAAAAATTACTAGTATTTCTATTTTTCTGCTGTTTTTTTCTCCTGCAGTGTTGATTTATGAATATTTGTACTGGAAAACAAGACAAAAATACTTATTTAGAAATCATTTATGCAGCAAAACAACAACAACAAAAAGTACCATAAAAGAATAATCCATATGACCCAGGCAGTGAGTCATATAATGGCTTAATGTGAGGAAGATTGAAATTCAAGTCATTATCCACCATTATGTCATTTCCTAATGCTTTCTGAGCTTTTCCATGAATACCTCAATTTTGTCCCTCACATAAAACTATAAACTGACCTCAGAAAACATCTAAAAATTCTCCTTTTGTGATCCACAAAAACCGCATACAGGGTTGAAATGACATGCGAGTGAGTAAATATAATGAGACTTTTGGGTGATCTATTGCTTTAAGTAACACACATGGATGTGTAAGGAATTATGAGATCAAAAACAAACACGTCTGGTTTATCAGATGTATGAAGTGGAATGTATGGCGTTAGGGTTTGTCTCACGTCCAAACGCAAACGCAGCGCTGATGTTGTGTAAAGAGGGTGCGCTGTGAACACTGACACACAAACTCACTGCAGGATTTCTACATTCTCCACATCTGGTTGGAGTTAGAGTGACAGAGGGGAGGCCTGCAGATCATGACGTCATGGGAACACAAAAACTACAAAACACATCCTAGAAGAACGAACGAGTCTTTATGATCTCGCTGATATCAGGCACAGCCCACAGATACAGCAGCGAATATGCAGGACTGCTAATGAAGCCTAAAACCAAGACTTCATTTGATTAATAACACTGTTTGCCACATTAGTTCAGGTTCAAGTTGAGCTGGTACAAATGTGTCTGATGCTTTGTAACATTTACACTGTGGTAGATATATTTGCATGGATGTCAGCGGGGAGGACTGTTTTACATTATTTACATGGGAAAAGGATAGAAGAAACATGGAGTATTAGAAAAATACAGTGGGACGTGTCCCAAACAATTCAATATAAGGAAACAACATGTTTTTTTTAAGTGTAAGCACAATGTGGAATTTAATTGGTCGCAATTTCCATGCAATACAGCTCGTCCAATCAGAATCAAAAAAGCCCATCTCAAGTGTTTCATAATGTAAAGCTGTTTTTGCAATTATTTTAGACTTATCGTAAATAAAAGAGAAATACATTTTTTTTTTTTTTGCATGGATATCATCAGCAGTAAGGACGTCTTGATTCATTCATTATTCATTAATTACATGTGAAAACGGCAGAAGAAACATGAAGCATTATGAAAATATAGAGTGGGACGTGTCCAAAAAGAAAAACATGTTACGTTTTTAAGGTTATAAAGTATAATTGAATTGTTTACAATGTCAAAAAAAAAACAATGAGAATTTAGAGTCTATACAACATTAGTTTTACTATTTTGAGTCTTTTGTTTTGAACTCAAATGTTTCATAACGTGAAGCTGTTTTTGCTGTTTTGAATAATAAAAATTCCCCAAAAAATGAGAAATACCACCAAAAAAAATTCATTAATGAAAACATTTTTTGTTGCTTTTCTAGCTAAAATAATTATAATAATTATAATTTATGCATTTAGCAGACGCTTTTATCCAAAGACCTTAATGCAACGCTCTACCACTGAACCACAGGAACATAACTACAAAAATAAAAATAACTATATTATTATAAAATATTCCATAATCCAATTAATCGAATACTCTACAAAAAATGTTTACAATGAGACAAAGATTTTGTATCCATCTTTAAGCGACATGAAGTTCCTCAAACAGTTTCATTGCCATATTCAATCTCAGTCTGACAAACAATCATCTCTTCAGAAAGCAGAAATTCATTGTGCACTCAGTTTGACCAGTCTCTCTTGCTCTACCACTGAACCACAGGAACATAACTACAAAAATAAAAATAACTATATTATTATAAAATATTCCATAATCCAATTAATCAAATACTCTACAAAAAATTTTTTACAATGAGACAAAGATTTTGTATCCATCTTTAAGCGACATGAAGTTCCTCAAACAGTTTCATTGCCATATTCAATCTCAGTCTGACAAACAATCATCTCTTCAGAAAGCAGAAATTCATTGTGCACTCAGTTTGACCAGTCTCTCTCTTCTAAGCAGTCATGGTTTCATAACCAACCGGTGACACTCAGACATTTGAAGCCACCCTCATTACACACACTATGCATGAGAACTGACCTTAGAAATGTGTTCATCTAACCACCAACCACTTCACATCCATGTAGAAATTCATAATTTTCCATGCATACTTTCAAAATACTCCTTATGCATTAAACAAACACTGCCTACTCCACTTAGAGACAAAACATCTGTGTTTTCACAGCATTAAAAATGCATGTTGTGCAAAAGTTGATGCTGCTAACCTTAAGTATGGACATACTAATGAATAAAGAGGTTTCCAACACAGGGTGGAATCATGATTCACTGCCCTGGAATCATCAAAAATTATATTTTAGGGCCACTAACAACGGTTATCATACGCACAAGCTGCTGCGCTGTTTAGGACGTGGATGTTTTTAATAATCATCTTGCTATGCGCCATAGAATCAGCAGAAAACTGAAGACAAGTTTGAACCAAACCTGCTGATTTCAGTTTAATAAACATCACACTTACAGTGTTTTCTGCAGCATTGCATATGCTTCACCTAAAATGATGTTTAATAAAACTTAATCCAACAATGCAAGTCCATATAACTATATTTATTCTCGCTGAGCTGAAAGCTTTGAGTAGATAAAACATATGCTGAGAGGGTTTACAGTTACTCTGTTATTCAATTTCATGTTGCCTTTTTCATGGGTGGAGATCTGGAATAATTGGATACAGATGTCGGCCGCAGCGCCGTATCCTAGTAATATGTAATCAGGCAGAAAAGCAGGGAGTGAGAGTGTCCTTATCTATAAGAAGCCTCTTGTGGTTACGGCCTGAAATCAGCTCTGTGTGGACACCGTGAGCCGTGACCTTCATCTGTAATGTCCCAAAAGATATACAGACAAAGAGCAGCTCCAGAGATTACGGGGAATGTGAAGGGTGGGGTCTTAAACTCCCACCGGCGGGAACCAACAGGAAGCAGGCAACATGACAAATCAATAGCATTGACTGGAATCTGAGTCCGTGTTCATCTCGCAGGAGAGTCGAGGAAGAAAAACAGCCGTTGCACAACACTGAAAACTGCCCGCTTACATAACCCTGCGTTCAGTTGCTCTACTGAGTCTGTAAAATTTGGGCCATAATTGTAAGCCAGGGTAGCAATTAGCAGGAGAAAAGCCATCAGCTGGTGCATCGTGTAATTAGGGTCAGTTTCTGAAGATGAACTCAATGACCTGTGCTTTTTACACAGCATAATGAACTTTATAACTTAGAGACTGGCACTAGTGCTAATAAAAACTGGAAAGAAATCAATGTTTTTCTCAAACAGAGGAACCATAATTTCAACCAACATCTTTAATGCATTAAATAAAATACTGTAAATAACTAGTTTAAGATAATCCATGCTTGAGTTCAATACTGTTTTTCATTAAATGAACTTAAGAATAAATAATACAAGGATAAATAAAAGGATAATATTATATATGTGCTATTATATAAATAAAAAATATATTAATTTAATTTTTAAAAGTATTTTAACTTTTTTTGTATTTTAACATTTTTCTTAAAAAGTAAAGTGTCACGGGAAACACTTCAGATTGACAATGCAAATGATTCACTGAATCAGAGACTCGATTCACTGAAAGTGATTCACATTAATGAATCCTACTGCTTAGAGCTTTGACTGAACTTTAAATATTAAATCACTAAAAGCATTTCTATCCTAATGTCCTCAAGAGACAAGAAACACAAAATTAGTCCAATAATAAAGTCTTTCAGAAAACTTAGCATCCAAATATTAAAGTGCATAAAAATTACACTATTCAAGATGATGCTTTTTACCTTGAATGTTTAATATAAAAAGGCTTTTACTAACATTTTTATCCTACTGCCTTCAAAACAGAATTTCAGTAAGCATATAGGAACAAAATATTGTAATAAGCATTATGGTGATTCAAATGATTTTTGCATTTACTCGCAAAAATTACAGTGAATTTAACACTAATATTCAATATGAAACACAACTAATCATTCATTTCTTTCCTACTGTCCTCAAAAGACAAATATCACAAAACTAGTCTAATTATTAAATCTTTTAGAAAACTTTAAAAGTGCATTAGTATATTGCAGCACTCATTTATGTTGCCAGCAAAACTCAGTGCATTTATTCAATGTATCACCCTGCTTTATTTGGCACAAGAAAGATGCTGTTAAACTGAATGTAGAAATAAGAGCTACTCTGTTTACTGCCAACGTTTATGCAATAAATGCACAAATATTGACTCCATTCAGCACATCCAGTGATGACGTGCACTAAAAGAAGCATTAAATGACCAACACAAAGCTCATGACATGACAAAAGATGCAGGAAACATTCCCGAACAACATCACATGAGCTTGTCTTCAGCACATGCTCCTCTCACCCATGTGAAAAGAGGAAAAGAGAAGGCGTGTTCGCTCAGCGCAGAGAGAGAGAAAGACAAACAAACTCTGGACAGTGACCCGCTCAGTTAACCTGAAGCAGCACGTTACACCACATCCAGCCGAGCTGTTTGGATTCAGTCTGGAAAATTCTCAGAGGGAACATCTCACCTACGGTTTCTTCATCCTCCTCCTTCAGGACGTTGTTGTCATCGGAGTCTTCCTGAGAGGACTTTCTGCCATCATCCACGGGGACCACGGTGAAGTTGGTGGGCATTTTCTCACCATGTGAGGCGTCTGTATGTCTCCTTATCTGTCTGTCTCACCCTCTGCCTCTCCTCCTCTGCGCTGGTTTGTTTGAGCAGTGGTTCGAAGTTCTCAGTTGTGCTCCTATCTCTTTGACACCGGCTCGACCATGTGACCAGCCTGCCTCCATATAAGGACGCAGGAAAGCCCCGCCCCGTGGGACGTCCTTAACACACACAGGAGCTGCCGTCTCCTTTCTCTCCTGCGGCAGAGTGAACCTCCACAGACACAACAACACACCAGATAAAGGAAGCTATTGATTATGAACCTCTTCCAGAAACTTCCTCCCGGGTCAACAGGGTTATTATCATTTAATAAAACTAAAACCATTCAAATCAGATTTGTTATACTTGAAGTAAAATAAATGTTAACTGGAATTAAATAAAATCTAAAAAACTTAATTTATTTCAACTAGTTGCCAAGAAAACATTTCAAATTTTTGTTTATTTTAACTAAAACAGTAAAATAACTACAACAGAATTAAAAAATAATAATAAAATCTATAAAGGCTATTAACAAAAATGTACTAAAAATTTAACAAAAATTCAGTAAATTTAAAGTTAATATTTAAACAATTTAATACCGTATTCGCATATTCATGGTTCTCTAATGTCGTTTAATGGTCACATGACATGCAGGTGAACAAATTAAATATTTTATCTTTTTAGTAGATTATAAATTATTTATCTTCATTTTACATTTTCATGATTAAATCCCCTGCATTTCCATGCACACCTCAGTTTAGAAAGCAATATAAGGAATTAAAATGGTTTTTTTTGTTTTTATTTAGCAATGGACGTCCTTATCACTGAAAATGTTTTTTTGATCAAAATATTGTTTTTGAAAGTAGTCTCTTATGCTCACCAAGGCTACATTTATTCGAATCTAAATACAGTAAAAATGGCAATACTGTGAAATATTATTACAATTTAAAATTTTCCATGGGAATATAGTTTCAAATGTAATTTATTTCTGTGATGCGCAGCTGAATTTTTAGCATCATTCCTCCAGTCTTCAGTGTCACATGATCTTCAGAAATCAGTATAATATGCTGCTTTGCTGCTCAAGAAACATTTCTGATTATTATCAATGTTGAAAACAGTTGTACTGTAGAATATTTTTGTGGATACATTTTATTTTTCAGGATTATTTGATGAATAGAAAGTTTAAAAGAACAGCATACATTTGAAATAGAAATCTTTTCTAACATTATAAATACATTTACTGTCACTATTTATAAATGTAATGTCCTTGTTGAAAGAAAAAACATTTGAAAAGTAGTGTAAGTCATACTACAGATGTAAAATGTTGCAAACCCATTTGTGACCAAAAAGCATGTGAAGTGTGTTATTTCTGCAGCAATAGCGGTACTAAATGAAATTGCAAAAACTACAAATGACTGCAAATTATCCTGGGACAGAAGAAAGTATTTTAACATCAAAGCTGCAATTCAAAGAGTAATAAACGTTACTGTAAACTGTTTGTGAACCATGCACATGTAAATCACACTCGCCCATGAGCACAATGCAAACACAAGGCCATGAACACAGCAGCCGAACAGCGTAGCTCTGTGGTTACAGATGGTTCTTTATTTTAAGAAGCGCTCATTCCACACGAACAATACAAGACTTGACATATGGTAGGATCTTTTGTAGTAACGCATGGCTGCAATAGTTCCCGTGCAGCACAAGTCATGAGCTGTTTTGTCTTCATGACCCTTGACATGCAGTTTAGTGCAGAGTAATGAACAGCCTGCACTGGCTGCGTAGAAACGTCTAGATTTACATCAAGCAGAGGTTTAGATTAGGAAATTTACAGATGAAAATGAAAAGTGTGTTAAAGGTTATTCAAATCTAATAAATCTAGTCAGATCTGAAACAGGTTTACTAAAAATACTGGTAATGTTTCTGCTTGTTTTCTTACGTTGTGAATTTCTTCAGCTGAGTTATGCAACACAGTCTGTTTTTTGTTTTTTTAGATGATTTGTGGAATTAAGAAACACATGCAGCATTCTTCAATGTGCTTCATCTGGATCAAACATCTTTTGTGAAAAACAAGTAAACTTTAGCATACTTATTTATATACTTTAGCAAAGAGAACTTATTACGGAAATAAGAATATACTTTCAGACACTTAATTGTATTTGCAAAAAAATACAAATGTATTATTAGTTTAGATTTATATTAAATGCAATTAGCTGAAATTTAGAGTGCTTTTTGATCCACTAAAATAGGACTTAAGTACATCTTTATATATAATTTTAGAATTACTTCTGTTATTGAATTACAGTTAAAGTGTACAGCCAAATATATATATTTTATTGTCATTTCAATTGAAAATATTATGTCACGTATTAGTAAATAACACATTTGTAATAATGAAGTTGCAATTCAGTATTTAAAAATATATTAACTTTAAATGTAATATTGATTAACGCACTATCCTGTTAAAATTATAATCAAGTATTTTACATGTTCATTAGTATGTTAGTCCACATTGAAGCATGGCAAAAGATTACAATTTAAAATATATTTTAAAGTAAAATTTACTTTTTTAATTTTTAATCTAATTTTAATTAAGTTAATTAGATTTTATTACAAAGTGCACTTTTTAAAACTGTACTTCATAAGAAAAATAGTCATGAAGGTGTACTCACTTTAAGTACACGTAAGTGGCCTTTTAAGTCATTAATATTATATGATTACATTATTATATATTAATATATGAGTATGATATTAAATTATGTTTTGTTTTTTTTGTTTTCAAAATTATCATTTTAAGATTTGATGTACATTACAAGTGCACATTCAATACAATTAAGTGCACTTCTTTTTCACAAGGAATGCACACATTTAGGAGAGAAGAATAAAACTTTTTTTTTTTAGTTTTTTTTTAAGTTTAACACAGCACACATTTTATTTGGAGAAACATAAGGTTCATATTTCCCTGAAACACAAATGAGAGCTTCTATGAAAGTCAATGGCTTGACTGATAAACTTATCTGAAAGTGGCTTAATGAGGTAAAGTTCTGTCAATATTTCTTGTAAAAAGGGGATATAAGAATCCTGATACCACAATCATTACAGATAACCACACAAACCCTATACAGTATGTTTTTCCACCTGTTTTCTGGTACAGCAGGTTAAAATGGTGCATCTGATCACTTAGTAAAGAAACCGCACAACTTTCCTCAACAACACATGATTTGAGAAATCATTGATGTCTGCAGGACAAACTGGAGCCATAAAAGATTAGCAAAGAGGAAGTCAGCGCAGATATCAGTAATGTGATTTATTACACATTCCTCATTGTTAACATGACATGTGGACCATTCATTTCTCCTAGAAAGACCAAAAGGCACCAGTTTAATGTGAAGCTGCACTCACACAAAGGATGCTCTCATGTTCAGGGTGTTTTCTGGGAGTCGAGCTCTTCAGATTGAATTACACTGCAGTGCTCAGAACAGACAGACTCAAGAACAGCACCGGCCCACTGAAGGATTCAGCGGTCAAACCAACCGGGTCATAGTGATAAAAATAACATGGGCTGACTAATGGACCAAAAACTATATGAGTATGATATTAAATTATGTTTTGTTTTTTTTGTTTTCAAAATTATCATTTTAAGATTTGATGTACATTACAAGTGCACATTCAATACAATTAAGTGCACTTCTTTTTCACAAGGAATGCACACATTTAGGAGAGAAGAATAAAACTTTTTTTTTTTAGTTTTTTTTTAAGTTTAACACAGCACACATTTTATTTGGAGAAACATAAGGTTCATATTTCCCTGAAACACAAATGAGAGCTTCATTATGTCTTCTATGAAAGTCAATGGCTTGACTGATAAACTTATCTGAAAGTGGCTTAATGAGGTAAAGTTTTGTCAATATTTCTTGTAAAAAGGGGATATAAGAATCCTGATACCACAATCATTACAGATAACCACACAAACCCTATACAGTATGTTTTTCCACCTGTTTTCTGGTACAGCAGGTTAAAATGGTGCATCTGATCACTTAGTAAAGAGACCGCACAACTTTCCTCAACAACACATGATTTGAGAAATCATTGATGTCTGCAGGACAAACTGGAGCCATAAAAGATTAGCAAAGAGGAAGTCAGCGCAGATATCAGTAATGTGATTTATTACACATTCCTCATTGTTAACATGACATGTGGACCATTCATTTCTCCTAGAAAGACCAAAAGGCACCAGTTTAATGTAAAGCTGCACTCACACAAAGGATGCTCTCATGTTCAGGGTGTTTTCTGGGAGTCGAGCTCTTCAGATTGAATTACACTGCAGTGCTCAGAACAGACAGACTCAAGAACAGCACCGGCCCACTGAAGGATTCAGCGGTCAAACCAACCGGGTCATAGTGATAAAAATAACATGGGCTGACTAATGGACCAAAAACACAGGGATTCATGGACGTGCTGATGCTGTTTTCTTTTGCATCATTGCTCAACACACATTACTCACAATTAAACCTTGGCAGAGTTAAAAGAATAGTTCACCCAAAAATGAAAATTAGCTGAAAATGTCCATGACCTCAGGGCATCCAAGATTAGGATGAGTTTGTTTCTTCATCAGATTTGGAGAACTGTAGCATTGCATCACTTGCTCACCAATGGATGTTCAGCAGTGAATGGGTGCCGTCAGAATGAGAGTTCAAACAGCTGATAAAAACATCACAATAGTAATTAAATTAAGTTTTTATTTTTTATTTTTTCACTTCTAGCCAAAATTCGACTCCATACTGTAAATCATAATAACACTTCCTTCAGTGAAAAAGTTGTATCATCTGAATCAGGAGAAAAATATGCACAGATCAAGCACCATTTACAAGCCAAAACAGTCCAAAAAAGCTCTAAATAAATATGTGGGTGGTTTTTGATGTGAGAGACAACAGGAGATGGACTTTTTTCACTGAAGGAAGCCTTATTATGGATCATGGAATTGTATTTTAGCCAGAAACAATGGTTTGAAGTTAAAAATCATATTGGATATATGGATGTTTTCTTTTTTTCCACCTTTTTTTCTTTTCTTTTTTTTACAAACACAGTCCTTTTTACTTTCCAAGATGTTAACTGATGGACTGGAGTGGTGTGGATTACTTGTGGATTATTGTGATGTTTTTATCAGCTGTTTGGACTCTCATTCTGACGGCACCCATTCACTGCAGAACATCCATTGCTGAGCAAGTGATGGAATGATACATTTCTCCAAATCTGTTCTAACGTAGAAACAAACTCAACTACATCACTGGTGGCCTGAAGCTGAGTAAATTTCTAGCAATTTGTCATTTTTGGGTTTATTAGTCCTTT